ATAAAATGTCAAAAAAAAAAAAAGCAACTTAATGAAATAAATATATAATATGTGAATATTATATCACGGAAACTAATTAAAAAAAAAAAAGAAAATGGCTAGGCAGATCTCCAAAATATGTTTGTACCCTAATAATCTTATCCTTCCTTGGTATAGTATGTCTGCATAAGATCCAGTTTGAGGCCCTAAGAAGGTGAAGTCATCAGTCTGAAAAGAGCCCCTTATCAGAGTTATATGAATTCGTGAAACCTGAAGCCAGAAAAACACACACATCAAATTTACGGTGACATTTAGGTGGAAGCATGGAGGAATAAATCATAGATGCTTTATGAAAAGTTCTTAAGGACAGCGTCCCAAAGAAACCAGCAGTTTACAAAAGGCTACGTGAACTCCTTTGCAGAAGAGACGAGAAGTTGAAGATGAGCCTAAAGCAGACCACCTATGTCAATATGCATGGGATGAATCTTGTCTGCGCCTTAACAGAAGAGGAGCCACACCACAGACAGCTACAGATGCAGCTCACACAACCGTGACTGAAAACAACCTGGCTACTCACTCCTCCCCTCACACAAGGGCAATTTGGGGCGTGTTTCGATGGGAAATCCTTAGGCATCTACTTTACCATCTTAATTTGACTTCTTTTTATTTCCTAGACTTCTAAAATCTTTCACGGGCATTAATGTTTCTCCAGTCAGTAACGTAGTAAGAAAGGCTGCAATGACCAGGTTCAACTCCAGGGACCCTCAGTTCTTAGAGGTGGCTAGCGTCATGGCTTGCCAAAGCATCGGGACCCTGATGTAGTTCATATGTCGAGATATAACGCTTACATTTTTAAATTTTTATCTTGGGGTTCCATTTTCCTACAAACTTGCTGAAATCTCCTATAGTTCATAAAGTTTATGTTTTAGACCCTGATTTGGTGAGTAGGTCCTAGGGTCTTAAAAGATTCTAAGTAGCCATCTAAGACACAAGCTTTGGCCTCTTCTCAGGCCGAACAAAAGCAAAAGAAGGAAAGTAAAGGCTCACAGAAGAAACTCGTCAGAAGGGGGATACTCTACCAATGACAGCCTCTCCGGTCCCAGGCCAACACGAGGTGAGGCCTGGCTACCACTCATGACTTTCCGACAGCCGACAGACAGGCTAAAACTGGCAAGAGCGGACTCAACCCAAACTACCCTGCTGTCATCTTTCAGCTACATAATCATCTAAACATATTTAGGTGAGTAGAAAAGGCTTAGGAAATTTAATGATGAACATGGGATCTCAGGTCGTTCTTCAAATCAATGTTTGATATATATATACTTAGCGATATAGGAAATAACCATTCTTCCATCGGATGTAAAGATGTAACTTGTAAAAAATACTTTTTATCATTTGAAACAGTTACCTCCTTTAGTGTCATTCTTCTCACTTCCATCCATGGCTGCCAACTCTTTGTCACTGATGCTCAGCTTGTCCACATCCTCTACTTCTAATGGCAAATGACCAGGCTATGGGAGGGGAAAGTACAATGCCTCAGATCAAGCCACCAGATCCAGATTTCACAGCAACAAGTAGACACATTCAGCTCAAGGAGGAGTTAAATGTACCTCAGCATCATTTGTTGCCGAATCAGCGGAGAGCAGTCGACTGTTAGGGAGTCTGTCATCTTGCACCGCACTGATATCCAGGCTCATTTTGGGATTGTAAGTATGTGGGTAAAGAGATTCAGGAAGGTGCTTGTATTCTTGGGCACACTGCAATATAATGGCGTGTCTTAAGACAGCAGTAAAAGAAATGTAAGCAAATAAAAGGAAGATGCTATGTGGGATCCTCACTCACTGACCCACAGTGACCTTGTAAGACAGGGTCGGTCTGTCCCTTGGAGTAGAGAGCCCTGTCTTTCTCCCACAGAGCAGCTAGTGGTCTCAGACTGCGGACCATGTGGCTAGCAGCCCAATGGCTAAGCACCTCACCACCAAGGCGGCTTCTAAGTCAAAGAAGGACTACTAATACATTATGAAGTTCAGAAAACCAAGTTTTGAAAAGTAGTTTATAATAAAAAATCTCGACCACACAGAGGACAATGAAAAGCTGCTTACTTTTTTCAATGTCATGTCTACTAAATGATTACATCGAATTCTATTTCTGGGCATTTGCCAAGTCAATAATATTTCAGGGAATCTCGGGAGGCAGGGAGGAAGAAAGCATAGTTCTAAACTGTATCATTATGTTAAATTATCAAATTATAAAATTTTCATCCATATAACTTGTAATTAGTAAAAGGAATCAGACAGTAAGAGTTGGTATCCATTAGAGACTTATTAAGTGCTTAAGGAATAAAGATCTTAAGTTCAAATGCCAAAGAGATGAAAAGTCCATAAAGAACGATGATTTCCAAACTTGTTTACATGCACCAGACTTGGTTTGTCCTCTGAAAGGACGTGTGTCTAGTTTTTGTTGAGAGGAGACAGCTGTAATTACTTCTAGAAGCCAGTGCTCTGAGACAATGTGCACTCCCCTTTCCTTTACAGACTTCAACTCCCGGTTCGTGTCATTTGGTCGTCCTTGATAGATGAAATGAGTTACTGTTTCATCAAAACTCCACCTGAAACAGCCAAGCACAAACCAAAGCACAAATAACTGAGAGAAACAGCCACAAGAATTGAAGATGATCACTATTTGTTATGTACAGAATACTTTCATTTCCCCAAACGTTCACAACTATATGAACAATAAGCAAGATCAAGGAAATAAGCCTTTTTATAAAATTGTATATGTAGATCTCTAGACTTACAAACGTAGAAAAGCTTTAAAAAAATGCTTTCTTTTTAGTTTCTGGAATGATTTCAATTTCTGTTATTGTGAACATCTACCACTCTACGGTAACAATCCAAGTATTTTCAGAGTCGTAAGCCAGAGCATCCACTTTGTCCAGTTCATGGAAGTCACTATTCATTATACATTTGCTCCACGTCACCCATGCTGCTCTTTCACGTTAGTGCCTCATCATGTAACAAGTTTCAACCCTGCTTTGGTTGTTCTGTATTTTACAGATAGGAAAACTGGAGGGCATGGCTCAGCAACCTCTTCAAGGGGTGCTAAGTGATAGAACCAGTCCTTAGCTATTATATTGTGCTATTATCTTGATTATTCCTAGTCAACATTCTCTTCGCCTAAGAAAATATCTTAAGAAATGTAAAAATATCCTTTAAAAGATTAATAAAAGAAAAAAACACCCTCAAACCCACGGCCACTGAATTGATCCTGACTCTGAGACTCTTCAAAGGGTTTCTGAGACTAGAAATCTTTATGGGTGCAGCCAGCCTCTCGTTTCTCCGTGGGGCAGCTGGTGGGTTTTAATCACTGATCTGGCAGTTCGCAGCCCATGGCCTCAACAACACTGCCCCAAGAGCCGCTAACAAAGAGCAGAGGAAGAGCACTTCCAAAGCAATCACCAAAACAGAGCTTTCCCTTTATGGACACCGAGTATGCGTTCCATTTCCGAGACAAAAAAATCCCTTCAGAGCCATTTAAATAGTCACATTAAGAATGAAAAAAACACCTCTATTTTCAGGTGACATGGGTATCCTCAAAAATAACTTCAAAAAACACCTGGTCTAATTTAGTTAGCACTTCAAATAATTGGCTCTACTGCTATTGAGTTGGTGGACCAATCAGCCTAATTATGCCATCGAGATCATTAAGAAGAGGGATATTTTTGCCGGAATCACCTGGTTTACTATTCAACTCCACTGTGGCAATACGGATACCGGGTTTGTAGTCCCCAGAGACTGTCAAGAACAAGCTTTCAATGTTTGTAGAGGAGCCAGAGCAGATCCCCGGGGCTGGGAAAACTTTTTTTTAAAGCGCCATATAGTAATAGCGTAGGCCTGGTAGGGCAGGACTAATTGTCTCTGGAACATCTTTGCACACAAAGGCACTGTCTGTGTTCCAAATAACTTTATTTGCAAGAACACCCGGCTTGACCTACAGTAGTCTGCCAATCCACGGTACAGAACAGTGTTTTCATGTAAAGTGTTACTCTTTCATAGGGGATATTTTGAAAATTTGTGGGAGTTTTTGGTTATTAAAACAGGTGTGCAGGTGTGGATGAAAGGAGCTGCTATTACCATTTAGTGAGCAGGGTCTAGGGATGCCCGAAATTTCTAGGGAACAGTTATTTAATAAACAATTATGCCATATGCTGAAGGTTTTCTCATAGTAGGTTGGACATTCACATATGTGAAAATGTTTATCTGCCTCAGTTCCGTGTGTCTGCTGCATGTGAGATGATTTTACATATATGTGCACACATCTGACTGCTCCACTCTCTCCAAAAAGCTCAGGTACTTGCAAACCAAATGTAAGCTTTTATTAGCGTGTGCTTGCTGGTTCTTCTTGGTGTCATAGAATAGCAAACTGACTTACTTTTTAAGATTGCAAACATAGTAAGGTGACAATATTTATGAACTTCATTTTAGTGCAAGGAATGTTACAAAAAGATTTGAAATAAAAAGAGGATGTATTTGATGTACTGAGAAAATCTGATCTGACGTTTAACGGCTGGGAGAGCGAAGAGACTATCATCTCCTCGGGATGGGAAACCTGTAGCAGATGTGGGAAATCTTCACTTCAGAATGGATCAGCCCACGAACACATCAGTGTTGGAACTTCTGCATATCAAAGGAACCTCCCGCTTATCCATTATAAGCAGGAGAAATTGATTTCAGAAAGCCATATTTAATGCAAACATTAATTCAACTAAAAAGTAAAGGTCCAAAGCAGTCCTCTTATATGCACTCTTGGGAATTATGGCAATATTCCCTTTTATTAAATTTCAAAGGTTGGCATCGTAGATTTTACAAAAATCCAAGTCGTATATGAGGGGATACTCCCCCAAAAGCAAAATCGCTCCCAAGCTATGTATTTAAATTGTTTTTACAAAACAACCCTATCATCTTCAAAGTACTCTCCATTACACTTAATACATTTGTCAAATCTACGATTCCATTCCAAGAACCACTTTTCAAACTTATCTGTTTGGAAGGCTGCCATGAGCACCTGCCTCGTTTTTGTTTTTGTTTTCTTCACCTCTTCTATGTCATCACACCATCAAATCGCTTTCCTTTCTTGTCCCTCTTCATTTGCAAACAAAAATAAGTTGCTTGACTCAAAATTATTTGTTAATAGGCAATACAAATACAATGAAATGTCGATCAATAACAAGGAGCCCTGGCTAATGGTGCAGTGATTGAATGCTTGCCTGTGAAACAAAAGGTTGGTAATTTGAACCCCCCACCACCAGCTGCTCTGTGGGAGAAAGGTGTGACAGCCGGCTTCCATAATGGTTACAGCCTTAGAAACCAGATTCCACTTTGTACGAACACTTACGGATCCTGACATTGCCTTACATAACAACCCTTGTTATGATTAGGAATCAGCTTGATGGCAAAGGGTTTGGTTATGTATTAGCAGGTAACAATGAGGCACTATAAATTATAGAGCTGCACTATTCTCCACCACATGCATCACATCACATACTAAGTTTCTTGTAGCTATTACAGATATATTTTACTTTTATAAATCAATACCAGTTTTAATGTCTTTAGAACTAGAGAGCTAACTATGTAGGACATACCCCAGGGGAAGGGAATCGAACTCTACAACCTGCCCATCACTTGGAAAACCAAACATCATGCTCTCTCTTGAGTGGTTACACACAAATGATCAAGCGAGCTGGCTCTGCAGACAATGGTGCAGCAGCACTAACTCAGAACTGGCTGGAATGAGCCCGGGCCACTTGATCACTGATACTGATGCTAACCGTGCCAGGACGGTCTCTCTAGTTTAGTCAACCAGTGTGAGGGCAGATTTGACGACCTACGGCTCCGAAGTAGTAAAAATGACAGCAATAGAAACATCTTCAAAAAGATTGTCTTAGTTAGGGAATGTTGCAAAAATGGCTCTGAAAACCCGCAAAGGTAAAAAATCATGCTTTAGCTCACTAAGACCCAGACATATTTATGAGACTACAAACTCTTAAAGGCAGGGATTCTTTTTTGTGTGGCAAATATATATATATATATATAAAACACTCTCCAATTGGATTATTGATATCCTTTACCAAATTATTCCACCTCTATTAATAGAAACTCAATGCCCACTAAGCAAAAATTCTTCCTCCTTCACCGGAGGTAACCATGGTCAAGTTTGGTTCTCAGCAGGGATTCTTTTAGATCCTCCTTTTCGGTCATAAGAATCTCCGTTTCTAGAAGAGTGGGTGGCACAAATTACAGTCGCCAAGATTGACTGGGCCCCTAACGATTACATGTATGAGTGACCTGCCAATCAACAGTCAAGTTCAACAGATTTTGTAGAAAACGACACTAAGAGTGCTTCCCTGTAGATGTTCACAACAGCTTCAGGGTTCTCTCAGACCGGGTCACCCCCAAGCACAAGTATTTGCCAACTACCTGTAGTCTGCTCCTAGAGAGGCCGCGATCCCATTCAGCTCACTCTGCTTCTTACTCAGTTTTTTACTAACACAGATCACTACCTGGTCAAGTGGCTTTGAGGGGTCTTTCTACAAATGGAAAATAAAAGAAACACACAGACCATTATTTATTTGAAATGTTTTTTGACCCTAAACCTCCTTTTAGTTAGAAGCCTAATTCTACCTTCTCAGGCGGGGCATTTTTCAGTGGAGGACTGGCAGAAAGAGCAATGGCATTCTGACAGCTATTTGCCACGGCCAGCTTCAAATTTCTGCTGATGACTTCTGAAAGTGGCGTATTCACCTTCTTTCTCTGTTGACTGAGCTGTCCTGGAGTTTCCAAGGCTGCAAGCGCATCCTGTATGCACAGAGGGCAACGGAAGAGAGGGGAAAAGAAGGGACGGAAAAGGGACAGGGGACATAAGGACAGATAAAGGGAAGGAGGAAGGGTTTGAGAAAAGGAAGGAGGGAGTAATATTAATTGAACTACAACGTTCACCTCTTCTGGTTTTATTTCCTTTAACTGACCATAAAAAGAATGAAATATCCATATACACTACGAACGAAAAAAAATTCCTCAGCAAATTGACTCAGAGAATAACAGGCATACATTCCAAGGGGTGTTTATATACAAAGCGGCTGCTAAGAGTTTGTGGGAAATGGAATTAATAGACAACAGGGGTTTTCCATGCACTTTTTGATCATCCCTTGTGAGAATTAAGCACTCTATACAGCAAAGAAGAAATCAGAAAGGAAATGAAAAGAAACCTCAGGTCAATGAAAACAGAAATGCAGCACACTAAAACTTTTACGCGCTGTAGGAAGAGCAGTACATAGTGGGAATCCCTGACAGCAAGGATTTGTATTAAAGAGATAAAACCAACAGCCTAGCTTCTTCCACCTTAAAGAATCAGAATAAAAATAAACTAAACCCAGAGCTAGCAGAGAAAAGGAAATTACAAATTAGAATGGAGATAAATGAAAGCAAACACAAAAAATAACAGTAAACAAAACTTAAAAATTGGTTCTTTAAAAGGATTATCAGAATTCACAAACTTCATACTGACCAAGAAAAAGAGGTGAAACGAACTACAATTAGAAACAAAGGTGGGGGACATTACTCCCAGCCTCACAGAAATAAAAAGATTACTAAACAACCTATGTGAAATAGATAGTTTCAAAATGTGCCAAGAAGAAATAAGAGTATCTCAACAGACCTCTAACAAGTAAAGACTTTGAATCAATAAGCAAAATCTTCCTAACCAAAGAGAAGTCCTCGGTTTTTCTGAAAACAAGCATAAAAACATGCCATTCATTGTGAGGTCAGTATTGGACAGATACAAAAGCCAACGAAAACACAAGAAAACTATAGATCAATATCCCCCTATGAATGATGTGTGTGGGGTCCTCAAAAAAGTGAAAACAAACAAACACCCTAGAGATCTGACTCCAACATTAGATAATTATAGCTCAATAAAGAAATTGCTTTAAATAAAAAACATATATTCCTTAAAAAGAAAGATTACATACAAGTAAGATTAATGGTAAGAATGCAACGATGGCTCAACATTATAAATATAAAACAATAAAAACACATTAATAGAACCGCTACATAATAGATGGAAAAAAGTTTGATTAGCGCTACTGGCACAAAAAAAGGATAACACCTAATATTCCTTCACAGTTAGCACTCAGTAAACTAGAAATGGAAGAGAGCTTCCTTCACACGATCGATGCATTTAGAAAAACCCTCAGCTAAGACTACACACAATGGAGAATGACCAGTGCTTCCACATAAGAGTAGGAACAAGACAGGGGCACCAAGTTGTGTGCTCTGGGATTCAATCTATAAACGGCAGTGTGCTTACACAGGGGGAGCAGGGGGGTGGGGTGGGCGGCAAACGTCCACAGAGAACAGAATGAAGACGGCATCTCCCACAGACTTTTGGATGCCTCCTCATATATCTGTAGCTGTCACGGAGACAGAGACTCAGTAACATGAATCCATGTGCAAACATCTCTTAAAAGTGAAATACTACAAACGTTAAAACCTTATGCAGATCTTTATGGACTCCAAAACTGTTAATGCAAGGCCTATTTCCTATAAATCAGTCTTACCTTCACATCAAAGGTCGGTTTGAAGAGCTTGTCTTTGGACAGGAACTTGGATGGTGTGTCCAGGTGCAAGGAGGGCTCCTTCTGAAGTGGCTGGCCCACGCTCGGGGCGACTGACACCTGCCCGGTGTGCTGTGAGATCACTGCCTGGAAAGCCTTACTCTGAAACCGGTTCAAATCGAGGGGGGTAACGGCCTTCTTCCTGTAGGCTTCCAGGGGAGAACCAGTAGACTCCGGAGTAGCTGGATTTATATTTCCACCATTTACTACTTCCATTTCCACCTTTTGCTCTAGGGATTCTAGATGAGAAGAAACAGTGTCAGCCGCTGCTGTCTTCGAAAGAGGCACAGAAGAATTTATTCTTAACATCCGGTTTGTTTTTTAAATTAATTTTCAAGTACATTCTGAAACAGTTATATACTTTCTAAGAGGCAAACCAGATGATATATTAAAATGTACTCAGATTAAGACAGGCACGTCACTAGAACAAATACCAGTAATTAGTACAAATGGATTCGTTACCTCTTTTTGCTTTGCCAAAAATTACATAAATGCCATCCACATCCATGGCAGTGAAAAGAAATCCACAGTTACCTGTATGCAGCCCACAATACAGATTACTGTATATAACTCGAGTATAAGGCAACCTGAGTGTCAGCCGAGGCACCCAATTTTACCACAAAAACTACATTAAACATGTGTTGAAAATGCGGCTTCTACACAAGTATATATAGTAACAAACCGTCTAGAAACATAAGTGAATCAAGGTCAGAAAGTCTTTAATGAGACTTAAATGGAACCCAGCATAACCTGTGCCTCAGCCCTAGTGTCCATGAATGATGTCAGGGTAGCATGTGACAGCTCTGAGGTGGTTCCCAGCGGCTGCCAGAAATGTGCCCAGGAGTGGTGCCATTGCACAAAAGTAGTTACTAATTCCTCCCTTTCTTGCCACCTTTTAACAGTGGTTGGCAAAAAGCACTGGCTGGGTGGCTACTTGATACCAAGGTCTCACGTCAGATACTGGGAATGTATAAGGCACAAGACATAAAGGTTCCCTGCCTTTTGAGAGACTACAGTTATCAGGCAGACACAAAGGCAAACCAGCAGTTTAACTATGGGAGAAGAGCTGCAAGAGGAACCCTGTAGGGCAGTGGTTATCAACCTGTGCGTCGCTACCCCTGTGGGGGTCTAATGGCCCTTTTATGGGGATTACCCAATTCATAACAGTAGCAAAATTACCATTATGAAGTAGCAACGAAAATAATTTTATGGTTGGGGTGTCACCACAACTTGAGGAAATATATTAAGGGTCCCCACATTAAGAAGGTTGAGAACCACTGCTATAGGGTGTGATGAGAAAGAAATCTAAGTGGCATCAAGGCCATATCGGATGAGTCAAAGTATGTGTTCAAAGGAAAGTGATACATACCAAGCTAAAAACTAGGAGATAAGAAGGAAAGGCAGAAAGGCAAGTGTGAGGCGGTTACAGGACATGTGCAAATGCCAAAGGGAAGGGGAAGTGAGCACCATGTCAATGCGAGCCACTCAGGCTTCCATCTTTAGACTACAAATACTGACAATCGGGAAGGCTTCTAACAGATGTTATGTAAGAGTTGACGCTGTTGCTACAATTAAGCCCATGTGCTAAGTGCCAGCATTCTTTGGGTGCCCAGTAACAAAACACCCCACAATGGGTCAGTAACCTACAGTGCAGAGCAGAGAGCAATACTTTCCTAAAAATAAACACAGAACAACAAAAATGAAATGACGAACCTTCTTTGGGTGCAATTTCTATCAGAAAATGGCCTTCCTCTGCCCTCCTTCCCGTCCGAGCCGTCTCCAACAGCCAAGCTAAAGTGACCGCCGGCAGGTTCCACTTCTTCGAAGCTTCGTATTTAGAGCCACTTGGCTCTTTCAATACAAGATGTGTACTGGCAAGCATGCCTTTCTTGGCATTGGATTTCCGAACGAAGTACTCTTGGACGCTGAGATTTGTATGGCAAGAAAAGCAAAAGGTCATACACAGAATTAATCAGCAAACGAAAAACAGGGTAGATTTCTTGTGATTTATTGTCTAATACATATATCGATTTATTGTCTTTCTTTAATCAAGCTAATTCCCTTACAAATGCTTAGTCTAGGATTAAAATATATTGCTGCAATGAAGCTTCTGATAAGCACATTCAACTAGACTTTACAAGAAAAGACAGAAAAATTACTTCCTTCGTCATCACGCACCACCTTTGTCATTTTCTTTCCTCCCATAGAGGCATGGGGTGATCAGAAGTACAAAGAAAGCGCATGAGTTGAACACTGTTCTTTTTATCCCACTACAATTTCTCAAAGCACGTTCACATTGCCACTTGGCATCAGTGGGTACATGATTTTAGGGCCCCTGTGGAAAATCAGTAGATGCTCGAGTTCTTTATATATATACAGAACTCTGCTGTATCTGTTAAACCATTTGGAGATTATTTATAATACCTAATGCAATGTAAATTCTAATTAAATTGCACTTGACCCTCATTCTTAGCCTCCGAGGGCTTGTTTTGCTCACTTCATTGTGCGCCCCACCCCAATATTAGCAATCCAGCTGGTTGAATCTGAAGACACGGGACCCGAGGGTACAGAGCATGGAGGAAAATCTCTTGACCGCCTCACTATTTCCTTTAAATACTAGTACTTTAAAGATCTGAGAAAGAGAAAGGTAAGTTCCTTGCTCAAGCTCAGGGTGAATTAAAACTCAGGAGAGGAACACTAACACCTGACATATAAACAGAATACATTTTCTTCTATGATTTACTGATATATTTCCTGCTCCAATCTGAAATTGTTTCTTCAAACTTGCGTTTTAGTGGAGAAATGGTATGGGGAAATTGCCATCTGGGCACTGGTGATGCCTGAACTATAGGTCTGATAACTATTTCTAGACTTAGGGTTTGATTTTCTCTTTCAACCAAAGATAATAAAAGCAGTTCTAAAATTCCTAGTAGATAGGGTCTTTTGGTTTTGTTTTTAGTACTACATTTCTGCAATATCTTTCATTGTAATCAGTGACTATGTTTCTTTCGCACACTCTGCTTTTTCGAAGTAACTGAGGCTTCCTATCTGGCCAAGTATTTTAAGGGCAACTTAAATGAGGGTGTCACAGGTTATTGAAAAGACAAGTTCACCACCCCAGAGTAGATAGTTAATCATACCCTGCCTTGTTTTCTTGCTCATTTGACCTGCCATGAAGTAAAAGATGAGTTAAAATCTCTGATACAAGTAGCTAAGTTTCTGTTGATTGCTCCTTGTAACTCCATTGTGTCTTATGATGATACCCTATTGCAGTGGTTCTCAACCTTCCTAATGCCGCGACCCTTTAATACAGTTCATGTGTGGTGACCTCCCCTCACCATAAAATTTTCATTGCCACTTCATAACTGTAATTATGCTACTGTTATGAATCGGGCGACCCCTGTGAAAGTCTCGTTCAACCCCCAAAGGGGTCGCAACCCACAGGTTGAGAATCGCTGCTCTACTGGGTACACAGGTATTTTATCTTCAATAAAACACCCTTTATCCTCATTTGTGCATTTCTCTTTTTTGGTTCAATACTTTATTTGAATTCAAACTTATTGTTTTTGTTAGATACCATGGAGTCGGTTCTGACCCACAGCAACCTTATTATGCAGAGCAAAACAAAATACTAGCTGGTCCCTGTGCCATCCCCAATTGCTCCTAAATCCAGTGCAGCCATAGTGTCAATCCATCTCCCTCAGGACCTTCCTCTCCTCCTCTGGCCCTCCACTTTACCTAACATGATGTCTTTTTCCAGGAGGGGCCTCTCCTGACAACCCTCCTGTTAGCATTTTCTTTATATAGCTTTGCACATTTCCCCCCACCCCACCGCACACTTTCTAAATCACTTTGTTATATGTAGGTCTCTCTCCCGACCCCTAGCAACAGTTTTATTGACATATAATTCACATATCATAAAATCCAATAGTTCAACTATATGTCTCTTATTTTAAACTCAATAGTTTGGCTTTGCTCTATGATCTCATTTAAAGGTCTTTTTTTTTAATGTTGAAGTTTAGTTTATTTACATTGATTGATATAACAGTTGTTCACCTAAAGGGTTAAGTTAAGCTAATATGGATTTTGGAAGCAAACTGTTATATTCATTTTTCAATATAAACGCTTCACATTTGCATTTATGCCTAAAAACCAGTTTAACAGATGTAAACTAACAAATAAATCATCCATATAGCATACAGAAGGAAATAATGCTCAGACAAGTTATATTCAATAATGATACATGAACCAGGATTAAATGAGGGTGCTTCAAGAAGTTCATGGGGAAAAAAATGGATCCCGCCGCCCCCATCACACACATAACCTTTCTGAAGCCCCTCTATTGATGAGCACAACAGTAAAACATTAATGAATATAGTCCTAATATAGTCCCAAACATTTCTCTAGCAGTATCCTCCCCTTTGATACTTTGAACTATCACACAGACGCACCACACACTATCCATAACAAAGATGCCCAGTCAAATTCTAACTTGAATGCTCTCAAGTCAGTCAAAACAAATACGAAGACAGCAAGTACACTGACACATTACTTACCTTGCTCCAAGACGACTGGCTAAGAAGGTCAAAGAATCTTTTTCTGCTCCAACACACTGGCTGAATGAAATGACACAATCTTCCAACGGAGTTGTTCCTGCCATGACTGGGACTGGCACAAAGAGAGGATTTGACTTTGGATCAAATAAAGTCTGGTGGTCTATACAACTAACCTTTGAAAACAAGAGACACGTAAGAGGAAACTTGAAGCAAGCAACGAGATTCTGACCATTCAGTTAGAGTAACAGTAATTGTAATTTACATAAAAATCAATTCCACCTTAACAGAAACTTGTTTATTCATAATGCATTTCAAAATTTAAAATTCAAGGAACTACAGATATCAATTCATTATATGCAGACAGTAAAACCATTCAGATTTATCATTTGTCACTGAATTGTGCTTTAACTCTGGCCAACATACTAGTTTCGATTTTTTTTCCTTTTTATTTTTATGCAAGGTCAATACTGAACTCATCAGTGGTAAGCTGACAAGAGATAATACCAAAGAGCATGTCATGTTTTAACTGCAAGAACACAGGGAGGACTGAATAACACGAGATGACCAGGAGTGGCCTTCTAAGGGTGACTGTTGCTACGACCCTAGGGCACATTCCTCTCTCCCAGAATTAGGACTAACAACACTTGGATATAGTCCTATTTTAGAATTTCTCTCACCAAAAGCAAAATTCCAGGTAGTGCAAAAACCCAAATCCCTAAGACGTGCACAGGAGCCCAGGTGGCGTAGGGGGGCTTTCCAGCCCACAGAGCGATCGTCTCAGAAGTCCACAGGGACAGTTCTGCCCGTCTGTGGGGTGGCTAAGAGTCGACAGTGACTCGACGGCAGTGAGGGAGTGAATGAGTGAAGAAGCAAACCCCGGGACTTTAGGCACTCAGACAGCCTTCAATATAATCATTCAACCGCTGCAACATTTCCTTACCAGCCACGTATTTGTCACCACCTCGCCCACCGTGGCCTTCACGTCACACCCTAGCAGAGGAACCACAGCATAATCGGCAACGGTTCTGCTCTGAAGGGACACAATTCTTCCAGCATTTTCTCTTATGATGCTTTCCACATTAAACTCATTTTCTTTACTAAAACCCATAATAAGGAAACTCTTTTGGTTAAACAAGCCTTCTTCAGCCAGTATAACAGTGTCAGTGAGGCAATGACTGGCAGAAGGCTGGTTTTCTTCTTGCAGAGATATATGAGTAGAATCATTAAGGGGCACAGCTTCAGACGTCTCAGCCTCAACTGGAAGAGAGAGAAAAAGTTTTCAAATAACAGGTGACTTATAAAGTTTATTTCTTAGCAAGGATATCAATGTAACTTGAATTCTGTACATCGTGGCCACATTTAAAAATCCAAAAGTTTAAATGAAGAAAGCATGAGTCCACTCCATCTTACGGGTTGCCAAGGGTCATCATGCTCCGTTCAGTGGACACTCAAGAGCACTCATGCTGCTGTTCTAGGATTGTCTAGTACCCAGTGAGCATAAGGAGCTGAAAGTAAGGACAGCACTATGACCTCCACGGGTCTGCCCGGGGATCAAGAGGATATAGAAAATACCATTAAAGGAAACCGGAAGTAACCAGCCCTAACTATGGAAATGGCCACATGAATTAGAAAACAACCAAGTCCAAACCAAACTCACTGCCATGGATGTGATCCCCACCCTAGCAAGCCGACAGGGCAGGGCCGAACAGCCTCTGGGGGTCTGAGATGGTAAACCTTGACAGGAGCAGTCTCTCTCCTTGTAATGAGCAGCCCAACGGGTAACCCACTATGCCACCAGGGCAAGCGAATTAAAATAGAATTAATATTACTTCTATTTTTAAATGCTATAACCTAAAATTCCAAATATGCTCATAATGAAACAGTAGCTACTCAGTGCCTACATGTATTTCTGTAAAAACAACTCATCCAGAATCTAAGTGAGGGGCAGGAACCTTTTTCTGCCAAGGACCATTTGAATATTTATAACATTATTTGCAGGCCATGCTGGTCAAACTTTAATTATTGCACCCCTAATGTGATGGCTGAAAGGGCTTCACTTTGGTGAGGAGCGTGATTTTTAGTTGGTATTGATTATTTGGGCCTTATACATCCCTCGGGCCAAATGTTACCCATACCTGCTTTAAGCAAATTGTCTAAATCTGTTTCCAATGTGGTAGATACTGTCCCCTGGGGGACACAGGAGTGTGTTTTTTTTTTCCCCCTGAAAAGAGGGCAGTAGGCCAAATAAATTTTTGGATAACCTTGGCTGACAGGAGTAGAAGAAAAATGTACAGTTGTCTAAACTACAGTATCACTCACAAAATGCACTGTCCTTACTATATCTAATCTATAACATAAATAACAAGAAGGAGCTTCCAAAAGTTCACATCTTTCATTTCTATCATCCCATGAATTTTTTGAAGTACACTAAGGTATAGTGCTGAATGACAATAAGAACATCATATATGGAGAAAAAAGCAAATGGTTGTTAAAAAGATGAGAGAAATAAAGACAAAATGGAAGAGACTCTAAAAATTGCTCTTGAACAGAGTAGCTAAAGCAACCAGAAGAAATGATGAAGTTACAGAAGACCAAAGGCTAAATTCAAAACAAGAGAAAAATCAACTTTTTTAAAGACTGGGCAATTAAAAATATCACCTAGCATCAATTCAAAGCTAATTTTCAAGAAAATCATATCCATCAGTATATAAATGAGTGACCATAAAATGATTGTGTCTATGTGTGTACAATTATGTAGTACAACTACCTTTGAAATGCTAGGAAATAAAACCACATATATCTGCTTCAAAAAAAGAAGAAGAAATGAAGTAAAAGAGCCGAAAGAAAACGTCAAAGGACAGCTCAAGAAGGCAAGTAAAGCATTATTATGAAATGTGCAAAGGCTTAAGAGTTAAAGCCCAAAGAGAAGAGCAAGCTCAGCATATCTCAAGTGGAAAGAACTGAAGAAAAAAGTCAAGACAAGTTGCAATATTGGAAGATTCCAGGGGCAAAATGCTGCATGATGTAGGAGACATCAAAAGAAGATAAAAGAAATATACAGTCATTATATTCAAAGGAATTGGTTGGCATTTGCCATTTCAAGAGACATGTATGGCCAAGAACTGATGTTATTGTAGCAAGAGGTCAGGTTTCAGGAACTGATGGAATAGCAATTGAAATGTTTCAACAAACCAAGACAGTAATGGGAAGGGCTCACTCATCTATGCCATGAAATTTAGAAGTTACCTGGGCAACCAACTGAAAGATCCACACGTATGCCTGTTCCTAAGGGAGGTGACCAAACAGAATGCAAAAATTATCTAATAATATCATTAATTTCAGATTCAAGTACAATTTTGTTAAAGATGATTAAAAGTTGATGTTGCAGCAGTACATCAGTACAGACCTGATAGAAACTCAAGCCAGATTCAGAAGACAAGGAACAAGGGATATAATTCCTGGTGTCAGATGTTTGTGTTTTTTTGACTGTGCAAAGGCATTCATTCTCTGTAGATGCTAATAATACGATACTTCAAAGAATGGGGACATTCCATTGTGCTCATGTGCAACCCGTACACAGGCCCAGAGGCAGTCATTTAAATAGGTCAAGGGGAAACTAAAAATAAAAACAAGTGTGCATCAGGGTTTATCTCTGCCCCATACTTGTTCAGTTATAAACTCAGCAAATAATCCAAGAAGCTGTGGTATCAGGACAGGCGGAAGGTCCATTAACAATCTCTAATATGTAGAGGACACAAATCCACTTGCTAAAAGCCAAGAAGGCTTCAACCGTTTATTGAGGAAGATCAAAGGCTACAATCCGCGCTGTTACAAGTTGAAGGAGACGAAAACCTGCACAACTGGATCATGAGAAATGGAGGAAAGATAGAAGGTGTCTAAGGTTTCTTTTCACTTGGATTCACAATCAAACCCATCACTGTTGAGTCGACTTAACTCATAAAAGCCCATTGCTTATTCCTTCATTTTCTCAGCTGTCATCTTGAATAATAAAGCCCAACTGGGGCAATGGTATGTGGCTGGTTGCTAACTGTAAGGTTGGCTGTTTGAGCACACCCCACAAGTCTAGGAGACAAAAGAACTGTTCATCTACTCCTCTAAAAAACCCAGACTAGTCTGTGACATAAGATCACTAGCAGTCACAATGGCACCCACTGCCAGTATTTCTAGAAGTATATCACCAAGCCTATATTCACAGCACTACCAAGAAGGTTCCAAATATCAGCCTTTAAAGTTAAGGGAGGGTGAAGGAGAGGAGGAGTGGTATGTGTGTAAATCATTTGTACCACCTAGGGATCAAAAACAATGCTTAATTTGGAGGCCCCTAAAGACAATGAAAATACTACACAGTAAAATCACATAAGCTTAGTGTGTGAAAATAGGGGTAGTGGTTAATGATGATCAAAAATAAAGCTTGTGTGTTATTAAAGTGAAAGAAACGCTGATTAATTACAGATTTTGTTAAGTTATGATGTGTGTTAAGAGTTCACTGGGTAGTCACCAGGAATGAAGAGTATGGGTAACTTACAAACTGGCGATACGGGGAGGGTGGGTGGAAAGGGGGAACCGATTACAAGGATCTACATGTGACCTCCTCCTTGGGGGATGGACAACAGAAAAGTGGGTGAAGAGAGACGTCGGACAGGGCAAGATATGCCAAAATAATAACATAAATTTTATCAAGGGCTCATGAGGGAGGGGGGAGTGGGGAGGGAGGGGAAAAATGAGGACCTGATGCCAGGGGCTTAAGTGGAGAGCAAATGTTTTGAGAATGATGAGAGCAATGAATGTACAAATGTGCTTTACACAATTGATGTATATATGGATTGTGATAAGAGTTGTATGAGCCCCCAATAAAATGATTTAAAAAAAAACCCAAAAACAGACAGAAGGGTATAGAGAGCTAGGAATGGGAGAAAGACTCAATTTATACTGAAGGCAAATATGTATCAGTATAAACATTAACCCAAATAAGGTAGGGATACCTCTATTAGCATTATTCACATGGGCTTTAAGTGAAAAGCTCATAAGAAAATGAGGACCATCGCATCATTAAACTTCAACAGAGACATGAAACTAAATGTGGGCTAACTACATGGAGAAACTAACACAGCTATCATCACAGCGGAGGAATATAGCACATTTCTCATTAATTTGTAAACCAACCAGGTAAAACTTTAATGTCACAGATAAGAACAAGTCAAAAAGTATTGGTATAAAATAACAGACAGCTTTATTAAACAAAACTATCAAAATGTGTAGCTGTTGCGTCTTAACATAGCATACATTTGGTCTCTACACTGCTGAAAATGGGGTTTTCCATCTTATTAACCTATTAATACAAGAATTACGGGCTGAAACATTGTAACATGGCTCATCTTAATGCTGGCCCTCCTGAAGAGATCACTGAAGATGTTGGAGCTATAGAAGTGTGGTGAAGACATCAGATGGTGCATTACTATCAGAAAGAAGTGTCTGGGGTCTTATAGGCTTCTCTTAAAATAAGCAGCCATCTACGTCTACATGGGAAGAGGCCACAAGCTGGTGATTGTATTGTAAATAGTAAAACCCAAATCCAAAGGAAGGGATAGTATCAGAGCTTAAATTGTGAACACTTGGTTTGCAGAAGGCTATGGATAATTGTGAAAGTCCAAAATCCAATTGTGGGGTCCCGACATGGATTAAGCCTCTGGTGACTCCCCTGACTATAGTCGGGGGGTGTGAACAGCCTTGTTATCGAGATCACGCTAGTCAATTACGGCAGGTGTAGTAGGTTAAAATGTAGTTATCATTTGATCTCCCTTTTGATCCATTCTAAAGTTGTCTCAGTTTTAATATTTTCTGCTTTCTTTTCTTAGGTTTTTCTGTTTTGTCAAGTCATGATTGTTGGTCTTGTTTGCATTATTTCCTATTTGTGTTTTTTTATGATTTTCTGTATAAGAAATCTAGGATAGGTAGATCTATAGAGATAGTAACTAGATTACTGTATATACTTGAGTATAAGCCAACCCGAATATCAGCCCAGGCATCTAATTTTACCACCAAAACTGCATTAAAAAATGTCCTGAAAAACTCAGCTTATACACGCTGAGTTTTATATAATATATAAGGTAATAATAGTTTTATATATTATATAAGGTAATAATAGTTTTATATATTATATAAGGTAATAATTATTTAGGGGGGGCTAACAGTGAGTACCTGAAGAAAAAATGTTCTGAAATTGATTGTGGTGATGATTACACAACTTTTCTTAATATAAAGGAATGATTAAATTGTGTAATATGTTAAGTATATGGCAACACAACTACCGTATTTTGAAAAAAGAATTTTGGGCTCTTGGATTGACATCACATTAAAATGTCAGTTTTGATATCAGCCAACAGCCTCAAATTGTGTTCCTTTGTAATATTTTTTTAGTTTGGGGAACAAAAAGTCTGCAGGGGCAAGAAGAGAACTGTAGGGTGGACAGGGTAAGGTTTCTCAAGGACATGAGAGCAACATGGTCCTCGCTGTCCAGGCACACCGTCACAAGGGAGAAAAGAGGGCAATTCTCCAGGCCCTACTCTCACCAGTGCGGTTTTCAATTCCTTAAACTTTAGCCATAATCAAGTCCACGTGATCACCCTGTGTCCTGCACAGAAAAATCTATCAAGAGTACTTGTGGGGTCACAGAAAACAGTTGCCATCAGACTCTCAGCTGTCACATGAGTCGTACATTTAACTGGCCCGGCACAGCCCCTCTGAAGCCCCTTTTCTGATGCCATCTCTTTTTAGAAGACGCCCTAACAAGACTAGAGAACGTGTCTGCAGCCACCCACTAACCGGAGACATGCTCAAACACAGTTGTTTGGAATAAGGCTTGTATGAACTAGATTACGTGTAGCAGTGTTTTTTTACTTAACTCGTTCATATGTAGAAGTCTCCAAATAATCGTAGGGCTCAAGGGGGCTTCAGACGTTCATGGGCAAATTCCGTTATCCTTTTCATTTCCTCATGAACTTTTTGAAGCCCTCTTGTTTATCTTTTCTCATTTACCTAAGAACATTTATGAAGACCATTTCCTAAATATCTCATAGATCAAAACAGATGTAACAAAATTAGGAAATACTTAGGGATAACAATAAAAATGCTACATAACTTTGTACAATGGAACTTACTAAATTAGTACTTTCATAGGAATCTATATATAAAAACACCTTGATAAGAAAACAATGTAATAATCATATGAGTTAAGAATTACAGAAAAAATAATAAAAAGAGTAAATTAATAGAAACAAATCAAAAAGCAAATGCTCATGTTATCCCAAACTCAAACACAAGTTGAACAAGGACTAGAAACACAACTGTTAAAGTGGAATTAAAAAGGAAAGATTAGAGGGTTCAGTCTTGCCAGTTCTCTCTCTCTACACACACACACACACACACACACACACACACACACACACACACACACAACCTTATAGGAGTAAAAGGTTAGCTTAACTAAAGATATAGATATTTTGGAAGAAATCACATAGGTAAATATTGGGTACTAAAATTGCAAATGCAAATCAATTATTATTTGGAGTCCTGGTGGCGCAACGGGTTACACATTGGGTTGCCAACCACCATGCCACAGTTCAAAGTCACCAGCCACTCCCAGCGGGACAAATGAGACTTCTGACTCCCATGAAGAGTTACAGTCTCAGAAATTCCCAGGGTTAAGTCCCTGTCACACAGGGTCTCTATGAGTTGGAACCAACTGAATGGCAGTGAGCTTGGTTTGAAGAATCAAGTACTTCTTACCTACTGTTGAGTCATTGTGCACATATTGAGAGAGCAGCTCTTCATCAGCTTGCTCATGTTTCTCATTTGGTGGAGAGTCTTTAGAAAAACTGCTGCTATTCTTTTTCAAGGGCAGTGTTTTATTTTCAGGTTGGTCTGAGACTGGAATTTCCACTGGCTGGTAGTTAGCATGAATGTAAGGTTCTTCAGGAAGCATATACCCTTTATTAAAACATTCGAGCAACCACTTTGCTCCCACTACATGAGGCCTACAAAAACAGTGCATAGTTACATATTAGTTTAGGATATGCAGTTTCCAGAATTGCATGAATATGCAATTTTAAAAATCACTATACAGTAGAATTGCTTTGAATTAAAAACTGAAAAAAACCTGTGGGCTGATTTATTCCAAAATTGCTTCAATTCATCATCATAATCTCCCACAATCACATGAGTTACATCTTCATTGAGTTGATTAAAACGAATTCCACCTCCACTGTTAATCAGTCTTCTCAGTTTGTCTAGCTTTCGGCCACTGAAGCCACAAAGATATATCTGTACAGAAAGGAAATATTTACTTTAGAAACAAAGATGCTGTATTTCTTTCAAAAGTTACATACTGTGTTAGACAACCCTTCTGTACATTTCAAGATACATAAAGAAATAGGAAGTCTATTCTGACACTTTTATTTTTCATCTTTTGTTCAATCCCACATCCTCATTAATCTTTCACAGTACATACTTGATATAAGTACTTTGTGGCTTTAAACAGAAGCCCAAATCCAACATTTTCTGAACATTAATTACCGTACATGCTTGAGTATAAACCAGCGCAAATATCAGTCGAGGCACATGAGTGTATACAGGAATACACAGCAATTTCTAAATGAAGGTTGCTTCTTAAATTTTGAGAGTCACATTACTGGCAAATTTTAAAATAATTACACAAATAAACTGCAGTTAGGTGACTTCAGAAAAATCTAAGTTTAAATCTTGGTTTAGCTGCCAATGAATAGCTCTAAGACAATAAGCATGTTACTTAAAACTATTTTCTTGTCAACTGAGAATTCCTTTTTATAATAGGGGATTAAACAAAAAGAAAAATTAAGTGAAAGCAATGAGAACCCTGCTTTGAGGATAATACCTATGCAATTATTTTATTGCTTACTATTGAAATATTTTTCAACAAATATAAACAATATAAGAGATCTATTTCTAACTGCATTCCAATCCCAAAGTAAATAATCTCTAATGTTAGAATGTATTTTTGAGGAGCTAATGCCAAAGGCTTAAGTGGAGAGCAAATGTTTTGAGAATGATGAGGGCAACGGATGCACAAATGTGCTTTGCACAATTTGATGTATGTATGGATTGTGATGAGTTGTACGAGCCCCCAATAAAATGATTAAAAAAAAAAAGATTACAACATCCTGTTAAAATCATGTGAGACACAAAGCAAGAACTACCCCCTCTAAATTCTTGACTCTCCCAAACTGTGAGATAATAAATGCTTTTTGCTGTTCAAAAAAAAATGTATTTTTTATGAAAGTAAATAACCAGACTTTATGTATAAGAATAATCAGTCATGTCCAGAATTAATTATAGCAAAAAAGACGAAGTACAAGACGACTTTGCGTTTTGATAGTAAATTTCTAAGTTTTCAAAATATAGAAATATTTTAAAATATTTACCCAATTTCCCTTAACTATAAAAGAAGAGTTAAATACTAGCTGCCTTAGGAAAAGTGCTTGTAGCCTATTCATTTTACCAATGTATGAAGTCATGTGGGAGGTGTTCTAGATTTGAAAAAGCCAGTATATGTTTCCAGCAGGAATCTTCTAAGATCATTAATTTATCAAAAAATTAAATAATCCAACCAAGAACTATTAACAAAGCAGTGGGCCTAACGGTTAGAAATACAGACTTTGAAAGAAAGCAGATTAGGAGCACTACCTGTGTGATCTCAAAACAAAAGCTTTATTCCTCTTAGCCTTCAAGTAATACTCAGTTTACAGTGATTGGTAGGAACTAAATGAGGTTAAATACAAGATATTAATCTGACAAATACAAAATAACTATTCTAGCATACAGCACACTGTACACACTCAATAAATGATAGGGAGAAATAAATAAAAACCCAGTAAGTGGCTCCTATCCTAAGGGCTCTTGAATCAGAAGAGGATGGAAAAGTTGATGTAGGTGAGATGGTTCTGAAAAGAGAACTGAAACGAACTTTGCAGGATGACAGATGAGAGAACATTCTCAGCAAAGGGACCCTGACAATCAGAATCACGAAGTCCAGTGAGTGTCTGCTCAAGTGTAATTAGAAAGGGGCCAAGTCCAACTGTGAAGAGTCCTCAAAATCGGTACTCATTGCTCCCGTGAAATAACAATGCATGTTGTTGCTGACTGCATTGACTTCCTAATAAGGATGGTACCTACCCGGCAGCCATCTAGTAAGTCTTCAGGTGCTTGAAATGTGCTGACATCCAGGTTTTCTAGGCTCTCCGATGTAGACTCTAATTTGCTATTCAGGATGGAATTACATATGGATTCATTTATGCAACTTGCATTGTTAGAAATGTGGCTGACATCTGAAGGAATACCGCCTAAATTAGGGGAAGAAAAAAACACGTCTACTTGTAGAGATAAAATATGAAAGGGGCTTCAACTAAGTCCATGATTAAATTTTCTCTCACACAAAAGGGCTATCAGCAATAAGATTCAAATACTTATTGAAATCTTGGCGGCCAGGTGTGAATAGGAAAAGTGACATGAAAAAATTAAGGTTTTTATCTGATTTAAGACTGTATTTAATAAATACATTCTATAACAGCCATCTCTAAAGGAGGGTTGAAGTTCTTTTAGTAATGGTGGTTTTATTGTTTGAATATTGTTGAAAAGGACTATAGAAATTATGTTCATTTACAACATGACTTAACCTATTAAGACAAAATCTATTCGTTTCCTTTTTGTTTGAATGCATTATTTAGCATATTTTTAGATGTAACTTCTTAAGGTCTTAAGCTTCTCTTGCTCAAACTCTACAACTGAAGAGACTATTAAAGTGCCATCTTGCTAAAGACGGCTTCGCTATCTATTTTTTATGAGAAGTTCTCCAGCATCATTGTTCTAATGATCCCTTAACTTCTGTGAGCTCTCTCACTCATCTAAGACCTTCAAAGCAAAATTTTAAAATTGTGAAAAAAGAATGTACTTAATAAATTTGTACATAATAAAGTTGGCATTATGCCTTCTCAATAAACTGAAGTTGTTGGCTCTAAAGTTCAGGAAACTTACATTTGAAAAAAAAAAAAGTATTCAGCAAACTGCCCATTTAAAAATACAGCATTTATAAAATAGAAACTATTTTAAACTTAATAGCAATACAGATCATCTGTAACTGAAGAAATCAATACTGAGCATTTTTTCTGCACATCACTAAAGTTTTTAAAACTTCATCTAAGTTTTTACTACTAATATTTTTAATTTGTTTGACCATCTTGTAATAGTGTCAGTGTAAAAGGGGTAGCAATGCATTCTAAAAAGAAATAGAACAGTGCAGAGCTAACTGTTTCACTCAATTATATAATCTGGCTATTATATTACTGAGTATGCATGCAAGCATAGCAAAAACAGATTAAACTGCTTGCAACAGCTCAATGATCCCATTAACAAATCAATCCTTCTACAGAAAACTGGTTGTCTTAAAAGCGCTCATTTACTTTAATCCTCAATGAGACTTACTGTCCAGTATGTTGTCCGTGTGGCCAGCAGGTGTCGAAGTATCGGGCATTGTCTTTGTTTCTGGTTTAAGATCTGTCTTGTATATAGATTCATCCTGACAAAAACCTTTCTCAACACTGTCAAAAAACCATTGTGGGGTCACACAGTGGACATTCCATCTCTTGGCACATTCATATTTCTGACCTATCATAGTCATTAAAAATGAGAAAAAATACAAACCATTAATATCTATCTTTGAAGAAACACACAAATTATGAGATCCACCTAAACCCACTGCAGTTGAGTAAATTTGAACTCATAACTGTATATATTTTTAATTCCAAGACTGAAAACATGTAGGAAAGCAGAAAGCCTCACCTTTCTCTCCAGAAGCAGCTGGTGGGTTTCAACTGCTGACCTTGTAGTTAGCAGCCCTACACCTAACACGACACCGCAGTTCCTTCAAATTATGTTGTTGTTGCTAGATGCATTCCCGTCAGTTTTGACTCACAGGGACCCTATGTACTACAGAACATAGCACCGCCTGACCCGGAGAAATCCTTACAATTGTTCTTTTATTTGAGCCTCCTGGTGCAACCAGTACATTAATTCATCTCGCTGACGGTCTTCCTCTTTTTTTCTCTCATGATGTCTTTCTCAAAAGACTGATCTCTCTTGATAACATGTCCAAAGTATTACCATACTTGCTTCCAAGGAGCATTCTGGCTGTACTTCTTCCAAAACAGCTGTTTGTACTGTTTGTCCATGGTACTTTCAATATTTTTTTTGCCAGCACAATTCAAATGCATCAATTCTTCTTCACTCTTCCTTATTCACTGTACAACTTTCATATGCATATGAGGTGATGGAAAAGACCATGGCTTGGTTCAGGTGCACCTTAGACTTCAAAATAACATCCTTGCTTTTTAGTACTCTGATTGTAGATCCAAGCAAGATGAACTCTTTGACTTCATCTTTTCTCCATTTATCATGACTTTGGTCTTCTTAACGTTGAGTTGTAATCCATACTGAAGGCTAAAATCCTTGATCTTCATCAACAAGTGTTTCAAATCCTTTTCATTTTCAGCCATCGAGGTTTCATCACCTACATATCACGCAGGCTGCTAAGCTTTCCTCCAATCCTGATGCTGCATTTTTCTTTATAGTACAGCTTCTCTGATTATTTGCTCAGTATAGAGTGAATATATATGGTGAGAGGATACAAACCTGGCACACCTTTCCTGATTTTAAACCATGTAGTACTCCCTTGTTCGGGTTGCCCAACTGCCTCCCAATCCATGTACAGAATTCACATGAGCAAAATGAAGTGTTCTGGAATTCCCGTTTTTCTCACAGCTAGCCATAGTTTGTTAGAATCCATAATCGGATGCCTTGCATTGTCCATAAAACACAAGTAAACATCTTTCTAGTATTCTCTGATTTCAGCCAAGGTTCATCTGACGCCAGCAATAATATCCCTTGACCCTCTTCTGAATCCAGCCCGATCCTCTGGTAACTCGCTGTCAATGTGAGGTCTTTCAGTTTAAGACATGCTGAGCAAGTTCTTCCTTTTTCGTAATCTAAGTCTTTGTCCTTTGAAACTTTGTTTAGCTATCTTTCTTCATCATTTCTTCCATTTGCCTTAGCTACTCTATGATTAAGAGAAAATTTCAGAGTCCCTTCTAACATCCGCTTTGATCTTTTCTTTCTTCCCTGTCTTTTTGGTGACCTTTTGTTTCCTTTATGAATAGTGTTCCTGATGTCCTCCTACAATTCATCAGGTCTTCGGTCACTAGTGTTCAATGCAGCAATTCGGTCCTTGGGTTGTTCTCGAAATTCAGCTTCTACAAGCATTACAATGCTGGAAGCCCTGTGGTTCTTCTACTGTCTTACGGGGTCACCAAATAGGACTGGGGTTTGTAGTTTGTTTTTAATCTTCAAGTGAAGAACTTCATTTAGTCGTTAATTCATCCAATTAAAAATTAAACCAAGCCTTTCAATTTTATCATTAAGGAGAAAAATGTAAGAGAGAGAGAGTGGATAGCATCCTGGCCCACCAAGCTTCGAGGATGACATTCCAGCTCAGAGCAGCCAATGCAGAGAGAGGACCATAGGGGTTGGCCTCACCACAAAACACAATGTCCCCTTACTGACCTACAGCACTATGGGGGGCAGCACCAGAGACACGGTGCAGGAATTGTACCTGGTCTGACCCCAAACCCCCACAACAAGGCGTAACATGAACAGAGCGTAACAGAACAGCAAGGGGTGCAAAGCAACAAAGTCCCCAAGGAATTCTGAAAAGTCAGACTGAGGGGGCAGGGCTTGGCACTGCATCAGAACTGATCAGAACACACTCATAAGGGTCAGCAGACAGACCTGGAACTATTCATAGGCTATTTTTTGTTTTGCTTTTTGGTTCTTTTTTTTTTTACATCTATATATATAAGATAGGCAGGATAAACAATGGAAGCAACAATTGTGGGGAGGGGCAAGGGAGAAGGGGGAGGTGGGGGAAGGGAGTGAGGAGCCAACAAGCCCAGGGACAATGGAACAACAAAATCTAAAATCTATAGCGATGAGGGTTTAGGACACCTAATGGGGTTTGATCATGTGCAATGTAGCTGAGAGGAATTACTGAGAGTCATATGAAGTCGAACATGACAGCGGGAACTAGGAGGCAAAAGAAATTTATAGAGGTCTAAATACGGACAGGTTCATATGTAAATACATTAATATAGAATGATAGGGATATAGGTTTATGTACATATATTTTTAGGTTATGTATTAAGGTAGCAGATGGACATTGGGCCTCTACTCAAGTCCTCCCTCAAGACAAGCACACTTTGTTCTAATAACCTGGCATTCTGTGATACTCACCTTCCTGACATGATCACTGAAGAAAAAATGGGTGCATAAGCAAATGTGGATAAAACTGATGGTGCCCAGCTATTATAAGATATAGCGAAAGCTTGAAGTTAGAAAAGAGGCCATCTAACAGGGAAGCAACAAAGCCCACATGGACGAAGCACTCCAACCCGTGTGATCACGAGGTGTCCATAGGATCAAGTATCAGGCATCAGGAGACCCAAAATCCATCTGTAGACAATTGGACGTGCTCTCACGGAAGTCACAAGAAAGGGACAAGCCAGCCATGGTGCAGTATAGCACTGACAAAACACACAAACATTCCTCTAGTTTTTTATTGCTTCCTCCCCCACACTATCATGACCCCAGTTCTATCTCACAAATCTGGCTAGACCAGAGCATGTACCCTGACTGGTACAGATAAGAGCTCTGGACACACAGAATTCAGGACAGATAAATCCCTTAGGGCCAATAATGAGAGAAGTGATACAACGAGGGTAGGGGGAAAGTGGGGGATGAAGGGGGAGAAAGGGGGAACCGATCGCCATGACCGATGTACAAACCTCACTCCCTCCCTAAGGGGACGAAGAACAGAAACGTGGGTGAAG